AAGCGGAGTCATAAAAACAGAAGGAAACTAAATATTTGTTGTATATTTTCCTCTAATAATGATAATAAATGCTCACGGTGGTAAAGAGGAACCTGTTGGACCCTGGAGATCTGCTCCAGTTTCACCGCCAACTTTTTAGATCCTGACTCTTTGTACGATACCATGAACAGTTTGATTTCCTGAAATAAAAAGAAATAAAAACTTAATGATTCTTGGGAGTTTTTTGTTTAAGAGAAACCAAATCTCTGTTATTTGTGTTAAAACTGCTGAATAGCTGAGAGTTTAATAGATTCAGAGGATTTTCTCCCCAATTTATCCTCCTTAACTTGCTGGACCTGCATCACGACGTCAGAATAAAAATAAAAATATATAGTCTGACTCATCAGAGCCAAGATGGCCGCTACCTTCTCTCCACTAAACTTTTTCCAACAGGTTTTTGTCTCCAGGCCCGATCACAGCAGCTGCATAAAGGAGATCATCGAGTTAATGACAGTAAAAATCTCCCTTTCTTACACGTTCTATTGATTTAGTCAATTATAAAGAGATCTTTCTAATAAATTAAAATTTGTAAAAGATGGGGGGAAAAATGGGAAGAGTTTTCTTGAAAAAGAAAATGGCAGAAATGTATAATAAACGTATCTACATTAGTTGAATGATTAAAGATCAAACCACATTGATTCCCATCTTTAAGCTTTTATTTTGAAAGTCACAAGGCAGAAAAGTGAGGTGTAGAGATGATCCATACTTCAAATAAACATTTGAACCATAAACATATTTGTGTTGATGGTTCAGCATCGCATTCATCTCTGATTTGGGATTTTATTGGAAATTGGGACACTTTGATGTATCCAAACAAATTGATTGAACATAGTTTTGTAATAAAGCAGCTGATCTACACCAATCAAATTTATTGATTAATATGAAGTATTCATATTCATCTTCTCTGGAACCGAGTCATCAGATAAATACGTCTGATCCTCCTCTGGATGTGGAGGAGAAGCAGCTCTAGTCTCTCCCTCATCACCCTCTCTCTGAGGAAGAGCCCAGCCTCCCTGGAGAGGAAGCTCATTTCAGCCGCTTGGATCCAGAATCTGGTTCTTTGTTGTCTTGATCCAGATTAATGACCATCAAGAGGATATTTTAATTGACATAAGGATGTAATCAATAGTAGTCGTTATTCTGCCAGCTGCTAAATACTGATGGAAAAAAAAAATAATTTAACTAGAAATACTTAGAAGATAAAACAAAACAGGATCCTATTAGGTTACTGAATAAAAAAATGACTAAATATGTAAAATACGATGACCGGATGTAGAACTATCATTAATAGACAGGGGATGTCGCTCTGATGGAATAATTACCACTTGGATTGCTGGGAGCAGTGGTGGACGAAGTATTCGCCAGTACTACTGGAGTGAAAGTACTGATACTCATGATCATATCTAAAGGTTATTTGGTCAAACATCTACTTGTGAAATTATTGAATTATTCACTTTGGAAAATACAGTGAGTACGGAAAGTATTCAGACCCTTTTACATTTTTCCCTCTTTGTTTCATTGCAGCCATTTTATTTCTCATTAATAAACACTCAGCACCCAATCTTGATAGAATAAAAAAGCAAAAGTTTAGAAATTTTAGCAAATTCATCAAAAGAGGAAAAACTAAAATATCAAATAGTCATAAGTATTCAGACCCTTTGCTGTAACACTTATATTCTCTTTCTCATGCTGTCCATCTATTCTTATCCTCCATCAGGTGGTTCTGCTGCTTCACTGGAGTCCAGCTGGGTTTAATTAACCTGATTGGACCTGATTAGGAAAGGAACACAGCTGGCTATCCCAGTCAGACAGACCCAAACCAGCAGTTCATTTAATGAGAAGTTTAAAACCTCTGGAGCAGCGTCCAAAAATTGCAGAGATTTATTGATTGTAAAAAAAAAAAAAAAAAGGAAAGATTTTGTACTTTTCATGGTAGAAGTGATCAATTGTAGTGAAAAATCAAAATGCTAGTAAAAGCTGCAGAAAAGTATCTTGAAGTCAGAGATTTAAACTGAGAAACAGTTGAAAGCATGTGAAAACCAGTAGGACATCAGAAACTGGCAGAGTGACGATAACTTAAAGATAAATTAGAAATTATGAGGGCGAATGTGATGAAGTATTATGTTGGGTTAAATTAAACATTGTTTCTTTTATTTCATTTTTATTTTAAATGTCAAAATAAATTAAATGTCAAACCATTCTGGCTTAAACATGTATATAAATATACTCTTTATTGTCTCAAAAGTTAGAAAATTTCAATCCTGT